TAGCATTCCGTGGATTTGAAGCTAAATCGTCCGCTTACAGGCGCAGGAAGTAGAAGGAGAGGGAAACGTAGCCGTTAGCAAAGAGCGGCGCCCACTCGATGCTCGAACCTGTTGCTGCTGTCGTTGCTGTAAACACCTACGTGTCGACGGTATATACGCACGCGCGTGTGCGTGCGTGCGTGCGTGCGTGCATACGTGTCCACGAAAAGGTACAGTGCGTAGGTATACACGTGCGGACAGGCGCGACACCCAAGTACAACGTATCGTAGATACGTACGTTCGCACGTGGGCCGAGAGTACGTGCGCAAGAACAACACGGTGGGGATGACGACGATGTCGTCGAGGAGAGAGAACTGCTCCTTGCATATCGGACGAGAATCACGCGGCACCACAAAATCGCTCTTGAAAAACAAACTTCCCTTTTTATTGTATTCTCATATCTCTCTCTCTCTCTCTCTCTCTCTCTCTCTCTCTCTCTCTCGCTCTCTCTCTCTCTTTCAGTTGTTAACAGGTAGCCGTAGATTAGTACAACAATCATGTTGCCTACTACCTGCGCCCCTCTAACAATAAACGTAGAAATGAAAAGAGCAGGAAAATACAATCGAAGGCACATCCGGTGTAGCCGAAAATGCCATTTTCAACACAATCGAGGAATAGGGTTTTTCTTAAGAAGATTTAACGCCAAGAAGAAATAATCCGTTTCCTCATAATATTTCTTTGAATATTTCATTTTTTTCTCTCTCTCTCTCACGAAAAACGTGTTTAAAGAGAAATAATTTAATACGAGAAGTGGGATTTGTTGATCTTATATTACTGATCTTAAACAAATCAAAATTCAATCGAAGAGGGCGTAATCCTTTTCCGTGGTAGATCGCTCCATTCATGATCAGACACGTGTGCCTATTACGATTATCTCTTCGGACAATTACAGTAGATACGCATCGAGCAACGATTAATTATCCCGGCGAGATATATATACGGGGCAGCCAGTGCCATTATGCTTTCGATCGCACGGCAAGATTTCCAGGCTCAGAGACATCCGGTACGGCTATATGGAACGATGAGCGAGAGATCTTTCTTTTTACTAACGCCATCCATCCATCCATCCATCCGACCAGATTCCCTGCGTCGTTGTGCGTCTCTCGCCTCTCTTTTCTTCTTTTCTCTCTTTCACTTTTTTTTTTGTTCCACATCTCGTTCCTCGTCTCGCGCGGCCCTTCTCCTCCATCGTCACTGATGCCTAGCGGCTCCTCCTCCCTCCTCCTCCTCCTTCTCCTCCTCCTCCTTCTTCTCCTTCTTTGCCTTCGTGTAGTATGTCCATCCCGAGTGCCAGGTGTCATTTTCATTGCGGCCGTGCGAGAAGCGAGAGACGCGTGAGAACTTCCGGATGGTTTACGGCGCCCTTCCGGTCCTTCTATTATCCCATTTTAGTTTACCGCCGTTCTCTCCGTGTGTGTACGCGTGTGTACGTGCGTGAATCCCGCTGCTCGCTCCCGCTATATCAGCTTCAAAAACCTTCCGTCGCCTTTCGTTCCGCTTCGTCTTTTCTTTCGCTCGTAGAGAGCCGACGGAAGTGGGATAAAGAGATGCGTAGGGAAGGCCGCGCGGGAAGGATATATTTATAATGCGGACAAACGCGATTAACAATCGGAAGCGATTGAAATCGGGACATAATGCCGTGAGATGGATGAGCGCGGCTTAAAAACATCCTTGACGGATGTGAGTCTTCTGTAATTGTAAATTATTTATATATATATATACACCACCTGCGCATATGGCCAAATAGATTTTTTGTTTAATTGGACGAATGTGGTATTAAATCGTAAATTTATATATTATGTGTATATAATAATATAGAAATTTATGAAAAACATCAATTATGTAGGATAAGCTGGTACACAATTCTAAACGAAATAAAATTTGAATCCGATTTTCCAACACACAGAGAGAATTTTCTTTGAAAATTTACCCTGAAAATATGGTAGTTGTGATACAATACAATATTTTAAAGATTTTTACCATGCACTTCGGTAAAATTAATCAAACTTATTTTATACTTTTTATTGTAGGTTTATTAATGAATGAGAGAGATTTATATTAAAATTCTTCGAAATACAATGTTGTCCCATGGCTGTCATATTTTCAGGGTAAACTGTAAGAAAAAATTCTCTCCGCGTATAATAACCCTCTCATTGTGTGGAGAATATTGAAAGACACTGAACAGGGGAAAATCAAACTCGAAAATTCGATTTAAATCTCATTTCGTTCAGATTTATATGACTCTATATAGAAAGTGAGTTTTGTCTTAAAAATTTGTTTTTAAAAATTACCTTAGAAAATACCGCCTTTTTATAATTTGTTAGCTAAAGAATTTTTCTGTAAATTTTTAAGTCATCTCTTCAATTTGTTGCGGAAACTCCAAGCAATATCGTAAGCAAATAAAAAATTATTCGGAAGCTGGTAGGCAAGATTTTTATACATATAAATGCGAACGGATGTCTAAAGGAACGCGGGACGAAAAAGAGGATTTTTCCTTATAAAAAGCTATTCGTTCGATCCATTGTGCCGTGACGAATGATCGTAGTAAGTAGTGTAATAGTAATGGTAGTAGTAGTAATAGTAGAAACTACATCTGAGGGAGCGACAAAAAGACAAACGAGATGAACGGATGGTCATAGCAAAAAGTCGAATGCTCACAGTCGGCGGTAAAACGGCGGAAGACCATTTCCTCGAACGTTTCTTCGCTGAATGGCTACGTTGCTTCAACTACTTCGACTCACGCACTATCGAGGTGCACCTCGATAAATGCGTATCGCGTTAACAGAAATCACGAGCGCGATCGCTCGAAGACAGCTTTTTTTAAATCGTTTTTTGCACTCCGTAAATCCGTAACGTAATACAAGATCGGAGGAGAAGGGAAGCAGATTAATTTCTGCTTCACAGCAAACTACGACGAAATTTGATATTACAAATTCATTCGTGGCGAGCCAAGTTTTCGTTAGTTTATAAAAACTGTTACTTGAAAAAAAAAAAGAAAAAAAAAAGACAGAATATGAGATATGAGAAGAGCGAGATTGTGAAATAATGGAAAAGAGTTTAGTGCAAAAATCTAAACGATATTCTCAGCAGATATTTCGAGATTACGGCCGCCTTACGGTATAGTTGGCATCGCCGATGACGATAGGCCGGACAGGACGTACGCGATTGCCTCAATGAATGGACTGGCAACATCTAAATAGTCCAGTTATAGCAGACTTTGTATCGCCGGCAGAAAGAGCGGATATACTTCAGTTACGAATCTTGCGCGCAATCGTCCCGTTTATTTCATTAAGCACCATAGTCCCACAACGCAACACGACGCGCTCAGACGTTTATTATTACGCAACGGTACAATCGCCGCGCGATCATAATCGTCCTACTAATAATTCCGTTATCATACCCGAGAAATAAACAGGCCTGCAGATGTTTATTTATTAATAACGTCGAGAGACGTATTTTCTGTGCAAATATATCGGTCAGCTGCGATGCAATTCAATTTGATCTCGGTGTATTTGCGCTCGTGTCGCACCATCGCGAAATAAACAAAGTGATAAAATCGCCATTCCGGAACGGATCTCGGGAGAGAGAGAGAGAGAGAGAGAGAGAGAGAGAGAGAGAGAGAGAGAGAGATCAATTGAATTTCTGCGAAAAGGCGAACGAGTGTCAATCGCTTTATTAATGACGCGGGTGCTTGTTTGCGCAGAATAGCGAGAAGGAGTTACCGGAGTGTGCGGACCGGAGCGAGGTATGTAGCAAGGTGGATTTATATGGTGCACCGTGGGTCGAGAGACAATGTCGTTGCCCGAACGGCCGTGCCTGCCCCAGCAGTCTTCATGGAGACGACGGACACACGATCGCCGATAAAACGCGCCGCTACAAGCTCTGCGAGCCCGTGAAACGGCTTCCCATCTGTCATTACTTCAAGTTAGTTAGATCACGACACGCATTCTCCGCGATTTCCCGCTCGAACTCGACGATTCCACGATTGCGTTCTTGGATCTTACAATTAGCTTCGTTCGTTACGTTAAACTCTATTATTGTATTATTGTAACAATCGGATGAAATTGTTCTAATCTCGAAATTCTTCCAAGTCGAGTCTTACTCTAAACAGATTGAAAATTGAGCCAGTCTTTTTCAAGATATTCACACACACGCACACGTAGTCAGTTCTTATATTTAAAACCGTCTTAAGTCATCACTGTTAGAAAATGTAACCACTTTATGTGTAATTAAGCTCGTGAACGAAATTAAAAGTAATGAATGATTTAACTGAAAATTAAGTTACAGTAGTTACTTAAATGTAATGAATGTGTACGTTAAATTTCATAAATTTTCATGAAAAATACATTAAATGTAACGTCGTGAAATTAAATTCAAATTGTGTAACTTAAAAGTTAATAAAATCTAAGGGCATTTCTAACAGTGTAGTCTTCAAATGTCACGAATAAATCAGACCGTAT